AAGAGCATCAAAGGTAATAATTTCTACTACTATAATTACACATTTATAATATAACAAATATCTAGTAGATACTAATACTTATAACAGTGACGTGGTGATATAAACAATGATGTAGTATGTACTCCGAAGACATGTTACCATAGAAACACTTGTACATATAATACTTAGAAGGGTGTTGTTGCCATAGATACTATATATACTTATGATAATGGTGATATAAACAATGATGTAGTGTGTACTCCCAAGACATGTTACCATAGAAATACTAAATATACAAATATATTATACTTAGAAGGGTGTGGTTACCATAGATACTATACTTATGATAATGACGATGTAAATAATGATGTAGTATGTACTCCGAACATATGTTACAACCATAGAAATACTTATAATAATTCTTAGAAGGCTGTTGTTGTCATAGATACTATACTTATGATAATGGTGATGTAAACAATGATGTAGTATGTACCATAGAAGACATGTTACCATAGAAATACTTATAATAATTCTTAGAAGGTTGTTGTTGCCATAGATACTATACTTATGATAATGGTGATATAAACAATGATGTAGCTTCTACTCCGAAAATATGTTACCATAGATTAAATAATGATGTAGTATGTACTCCAAACATATGTTACAACCATAGAAAATACTTATAATTCTTAGAAGGCAGTTACCATAGATACTATACTTATGATAATGGTGATGTAAGCAATGATGTAGTTTGTACTCCAGACATGTTGCAATCATAGAAATACTTACATATAATACTTAGATGAGTGTGAACTTGTTACCATAGATACTATACCTAAGGTAATGTTGATATAAACAATAATGTAGTATGTACTCCGAACACATGTTACCATAGAAATAGATATAAATAATGATGTAGTATTTACTCCAAATATGTTACCATAGAAACAGATGCAAACAATAATGTAGTAAGTACTCCGAAGACATGTTACCATAGAAATACTTAAACAGATAATACTTAGAAGGGTATTGTTGCCATAGATACTATACTATGATAATTGTGATGTAAGCAATGATGTAGTTTGTATTCCGAACATGTTACGACCATAGAAATACTTATTACATAAGACATGTTACCATAGAAATACTTATACATAATACTTAGAAGGGTGCACTTGCCATAGATACTATACATATGATAATTGTGATGTAAGCTATGATGTAGTTTGTACTCCGGACACATGCTATCATAGAAATAGATATAAATAATGATGTAGTATTTACTCCAAATATGTTACCATAGAAACAGATGCAAACAATAATGTAGTATGTACTCCGAAGACATGTTACCATAGAAATATTTATACATATAATACTTAGAAGGGTGCTTTTACCATATAGATGCTATATTTATATGATAAGCAACAATGCAGTGCAATACTCTTGTAACATGTTACCATAGAAATACTTATACAAATATAATACTTAAGCTGCTGTTGCTATAGACACTATATGTATGATTAGGGTGATGCAGAAATGATTTAGACTACAATTTTCAGTGAGAGGATAGGGATGGCTGTGAGGGKAGGTTGGAGGCCATCTTTTTTTAGGCACCATTAATACGTAGGTACATGTGGCAATTATATTATAATTTAGAATCAAATCTAAATACCTAAAATAAACAGTGAGAGGATAGGTATAGCTGAGGTTGGAGGCCATTTCTATAAGGTTTTATAAGGGCTATAACTATACAGTCTTTTGTCATTATATTTGTTTGTTATCTGAATAGGAATTAATACTATTAGCATGCATTGATTCTATGAATGGATACTATTGGTGTTTGTGTCTTTGAGTATATATCCACAGATGACCTGTAGATGTTTAAATATTTGCCTTACAGAATGGTGGTTTTGGAGGTAAATAATACAACTTGATATATGATATGCTGTTTTGTGAATAAGCTTCTAAGAGACTACCTCTCACTAATGTGTGAGCAAACACAGGCACTTGTCCCCACCAGTAAGAGCACAAAAAATGCTTATCTTTGTATTTATTAAGTCTGCTTGTTAATATTTCAGGTTATGGAAAAGTCCTTGGCAGTACAACAACCTCAAACCCACCATCAGATCTAGTTAGTGTAAGAGTGCATGCATGACAACCATGATTTGTCATGTGGACTGGGTGCGATTCCCAGATTAGATTGTCAGTGGGTTCAAAATAGGTTGTTGTAAAGAAACTACAATGGGGAGAACACTTGTCCGTGCAAAAATGGTATGCTTTCAGGATATTTGTAGATTTTTAAGCTTAAACTTCAATGAAATACCAGGAAATCTCTTTCGCATGTAAAAATAACGTTATTTTAATACTAAAATGGTGCTAAACAAACAATAGAAAACAACAAAGTTCGAATAATTAGCAGTATTTAGTGTTTATGTTGCACACATTTTTTTGCGTTTTCTCTAAGTAAATCGACATTATTTCACTTACCCGAATAAAATTAGAGCAACAAAGATGTCTTTGTTGGGCCTCCTGTGCAATTCGCGCCAAATAGTATACACAGGAATCCCAATCTCGTTTGGCTCCCTGTGGTATTTGCTTCTCGTCTTGTGTTACAAGGYTTYCGTGACTCACCCTAAYAGCYCACTAAAAGTTCACAAAAGACGAGCAAGATCTCCTGAAATGAGGCCGTTTAACGTAGCTTTAAGTTGTTTAACAAGYATTATAATCCTACCAACATTATTTTTCAATCGAAAAAGAATTCTGTGTAAAGCAGAAAAGGATCCCTACTGCACTTCAGAAGTCACTTACGAAAAAGAGCAGAAATCAGCAGTGAATATAGCAATCATTGGAGCCGGCCTGGGGGGGTCAGCCGCTTCGTATTTTACACGAAAACTATTTGGTTCAAGAGCGAAAATCGATGTGTACGAATCTAGTGATCATGTTGGAGGAAGACTTGGCGTTGTGGAGATCGCAGGGAGGTTGTATGAATCAGGGGGGTCAGTTATCCATCCCAAGAATCTTTATATGAAGAATTTTACTCAAGAATTTGGTAGGTCGTGCTRTGGTTTGCATTAAATTTTGTTCTTTGAAGTTCTGAGAAGTTGGAATGAATCTTATACACTTCTATTCATTTCTTTCTCCCAAACTTATTTAGTATACTTATCAAAATCATGCTTGTAACTTTTTGCCTAATTTAGACAGTACAAGTTTTGCCTACAACCATTTAATTGAAACATGCTACCTCGGCTTATGAGGTATAAAACAAATATTTTATACGACAGTTATACGGCATGTTATAAAGATACTAGAATACTACAGTTTGTTGAGGCAAGACTGAGATTTTCATCATGTTCTGTCTTTTTAACCCTCCCCTCCCCTAGGTACATGTACTCTGCATTCCCATTGCTAAACATCATGTTTTCATATTTCTTAGGTCTTAAAATGCTGCCAAGTTTAGAGTCAGACAGTYGTGTMGGTATCTACGATGGYACAGATTTTGCTTTTCTGGGCAGCAAATGGAARATTGTCAACCTTCCAAARCTGCTTTGGAGATATGGATTAGACATGTTTACCTTTGATGATTGGGTCAAAACAATGCTCAGAAGCTTTTCAAATATATACACCCTTCAAGCTGAGGGCAAAACTTACCATAATGTTGATGAACTGCTTACAGCTATGGGTGGGAAGGATTTTGTTGACATGTTGAAT